AATAATAATAATAATGATGATGATGATGATGATGATGATGATGATGATGATGATGTACCGTGAAGTCAATTCTGACTTAAGGTATCAGGCTTTTTGAGGTACAGTATACAGAAGTAGTTTTCCCTTCCCTTCTTCTGGGATGGTGGGGGGGGATCCCTGGGATTCTGCAATTTACCTGAAGCCACCCAGGCTGGCTCTTCTCCCAGAAGGCACCGAAGGGGAATCAAACTCCCAGCCTCCGTCTCTGCAGCCTGAGACCTAAACCACTTGACTGTTCCGCCCGCTGTCTGCTGCTGACCACTGAGGACCCAAAATCAAGATTCGTAATCTCTCTCCTTTTGTGGGGTTCTTGATCCTTTGTGCAGGATGAGAATGCCCCCCAAATGGAAGGGACCTGCAAACGAAGGACTGGGCTTCCTAAGAGCGTCCATCCCAACGCAGCAGTCTCAAATGGTGGGACAAGCAAGGGAGCCCTTGGCAAGAACTGCCCTCCCATCTGCTCACCTTATCCCGCCTTACTTGTTGCAACCTGCTTAAATGGCAGAACAGGCAGATGTGTGTTGGTGGCAGATGCATACAAGTCTGTCTCGGCCAGAAACTCATCAAGTGTACACTACATGATGTGCAGGTTTTATTTAGTCTTCTCCCCAGGGGGTTTACAGGTACACTCGCAGTAAAGGTTGCACAGCTACTGAGCGTGGCAAGGCACAGGCTTTCTGCTGGTGGGAACAAAGGTGGCAGAGGGTTGTCTTTACAATTGTTGGCTGGCATCTAAGGGAGAACATATTCTCTCTTCCACAGTGGTGATTGGGAAGCGTGCAGAGTAAAGGAGTCTAATTGCTGGCAGGTTTGTAGCTTTAATACGTTTTACTGCTGTTGGAACCTGGGCTGGCAACATGCCAAGACAAGGGACTCTTTGAACATGTGCAGAGGGCTGAGGGAGGGATGCTGTCCTCTCAGGGTGGGGTGGGGGTGAGTCTCAAGAGCTAGGGTCTCAGCAGGCTAGGCTGCAGGTAGCAACAGGCAGATTTTGGTGAGGGAAACTCAGAATCAGAGTCCAGAGACAGAACCAAGATCTTGCAAGCAGAGTCCTACCAGAGAGTCAGGTGAGCTGCTTCAAACATCACAAACCACAAGGGAATCGACCAACAAGTAGGATACAAAATAGGTCAACTCTGGAGTCAGAATAGAGAGAATATCTCCTGCAAGGGAATTCCATAGTTCTCCTTGCCGTCCCTAGACTTTAACGGTCACTTCTGTTGTGCTCACCTGGAGAGAAAAAACAGTCAGCAGGGCTTCCAGCCTTGGATGGGCCTAACTTCCTGCTGGGAAAGGAAGCTTCCATGCAACCATCACCCAGCTTCCTTTCGCAACAGGAAGTTAGGCCCATCCAAGGTCCGAAGTCCTGTTTCCTCTTCAGATGAGCATGATGTAGGTGTCTGTAAGGTCTAGGTCCTGCTGATGGGACTCCCAGAAAAGAGAATGATGGGCATTGTAGTCTAAAATATTTAAAAAAATGCATGCCTACTTCCCAGTGCCAGGCTGTTTTATATACCTAAACTGCTGGAGCCCCACCCAGAGCCCAGCTGAAGGCATTTGGCCAGTGGAAAGAGGAGTTCAGCTGTAGGGTTTAACCCACCAGTCTCCCTGAGAGGAAAGGCTTTCCCCATAATGAGGAGTTCCTTAGTCCTATGATGACTTTCTTGGGGCTCATGCCTTTGTCTTGCTGCATTTGTCCAGCCGTCATCTCCTCCAATTCGAGTACTGAGTCACCTTCTACTTACGGCTAATCAGTGGGGGCTGAGGTCCTGGATGTGGTGGGGAAATTGGGGATCCACTCTGAGTTTTTATCCAAACTTTAAACAGGGCATTCCAAGGTAGCGGGACCTGTTTTCTGGGACAGGGTCCAGCTACTTATCAAGTTTAGATGCACTCCTGGAGTGGATTCACCAACCCTGCAAAATCTGGGTCCCCGTGATCACCCTCCAACCTGGCTTCCACGCTTCTGTAGTACGGTGTGCCCTAGAGACCTTTCCGCAAACCAGCTTACCCCTGCCGGCTATTTTTCTGCCAGTTTCAGTCATCTGAAGTATTTTCTTTCCCTCATTTCTTTCATGCCAAATGGAGGTCATGAGCCTTCCTCGAGAACAGCTGTGTCTCCTGTAGAACTGGTGGGAGAAAGCCAGAGAAGAAGGACAAGAGAAGGGAGTAAAAGGGAGAGAAGGAATGGTGCTATGTTTTTGCTTGAACTACGATAGGGTCCGTCCGCTGGAAGGAAAGCCAGAAATCTGGTCTGACCACTCCAACTTGAGTCCCTACTGTTTTGACGGCTCCTGTCACAAATCGTTTCACGTAGAGATGATGGCACGCCAGTCCAAACTCATCTTGAAGTTCTACCACCAGCAGACGCCACACTTGTTTGATCATTGATTTTGTTGGGGGCTCTTTCCCTCTCAGTTGCTTAAGTTGTCTTCAAGTAACATTAACATGTTCATTAAAAAAAAAAACAAATGCTGCATATTTTTGTTATTTTCTGGAAGCCTCCCATTAACTGGGCAGGGTATAAGTTAAGCAAACAAATAAAATGGATAAATAAAAGCAAAGCAAAGCAAAGCGTGCTGCTTATATACCGCCCCATAGCGCTTCAAGCACTCTCTGGGCGGTTTACAATTTAATTATGCAGGCTACACATTGCCCCCCCCCAAGCGAACTGGGTACTCATTTTACTGACCTCGGAAGGATAGAAGACTGAGTCAACCTTGAGCCGTGAGCACAGTTTTAGCTGCAGTACAGCGATTTAACCACTGCGCCACGAGGCTCCATAAGGCAGCAGTGCTACTAGAAATCACGACTGGAAGGTGTAGGGCTTGGAATTTTGTGTACAGATCTCAGGCTTGCAACAGAGCTTTGGTGAAGCCACACCTATCCTTTTGGGGTCTCTCTGTCGGACAGCTCTCTGGCTCGCCTTAATATTTTGATTTGTAGGGATCAGATTTTCAGTTTGTTGGGGGCGGGGCTGGACTACTGATACTGTTCATCTCTGTTTTGGATGTTCCACTGACCTTATAGGCACCTTGCTTTCTGAATCTAATACAGTAAGACCTCTGTATCCACAGAAGATTGGTTCCAAGCCCCCAACCCTCCGTGGATGCTGAAAGAGGCAGATTATAGTGAACACCATTATGAAAGTAATACATGCTATAAAAAACATAGTCTCTGGCTCCCTCTCATGGCCAGTTGTGGTAATGACACCAGGGCAATCTATTTCTCTAGTGAAAGCTATACAGTACACAAGCATGGTTTCTGGCTCCATCTAGTTCTGGTAACTTCATCTATAAAAATATTTGAGGGGGATCTTTTCTTTTAATATTTTCAGATTGTGAATAAGTGAATCAGCGGTTACTGATCTTGTGGATAAGGGGGTCCTACTGTATTCTCTCTCCTCCAGCTGCCAATATCATGGAACAAATGTTCCCCTAAAGACAGGATTGATTTACTGGAGATGGTCACAGACTGAATGTACAGAAAAAGAACTAATTGCAGTTTAATTAACCCTTGAAGAAGGCTGACAGGCCGAAACACATTGCACATTTTATACTGGACTAAAGAACATTATATTTTCTACCTCCTGGGATCACCTTTTCCCCCTTATTTGAGCTAATATTATATTTCCCTAAAGACACCCTCTTAAAGAACTATGTGGAATCTCAGACCTATCAGATCTTTTGGCCTACAACTCCCATTGGCTCTTCCTTGTCAAGAGGAAGGGTGTTGTGATCTGCCATTCAAAAGGGCTGAATGGCTGTAGAATCATCTGAGTTGTACTTCTGCCTGTTCCCCCCAGCTCCCCCTCCCTCTGTTCCTGTCCTGACTGGGAATCCCGTCTCGAACGCATCGGTAGCCCTTGCTGGGTAAAAGAACTTTGAGAATTCTTTTTTAAAAATATGAACTTCTCCCTGTTTTGCTCAGATTATGGTGGGCTTTGGGGTTTTGGAATCCATGGGCCTGGACGACTGCAGGAATTCCTTTAGCCAGACGTCTGGATGCTTTGCCCCCCCCAACACCCACCAGACCCTTCTGGTGCTTACAATCACATGCAACTGAAAAATGATAGCTTGTTCTTGGACATGATGAAGGCAGAGGAAGTGGCTGAGCGGGACTCACTTCCATTGGAGCTGCAAGCAATTATGGGTCTGGTAGTTTCCAGAGTATACCCAGTGTATTGTAGTGGATAGAGTGGTGGAGTAAGACTTAGGAGACCTGGGTTCGAATCCTTGACCAGCCATGGAAAGTCCCTAGGGAAGTGGAACTGTTAAAACCACTCCATAAATATCTCACTGCCCTTGAAATCCTTATTAGAGTCACTATAAGTCAGTTTTGACTTCTTCACACATAACAGGTTGCCAGAGGGTCACCCTGTGCAGAGAAGTATGATAAGCAGGGAGACTAACAGCCCCCTAATGCCTTGCACTTCCCATGCAACTTAGCTCCACCCAGCCACTTCTACAGATTTCCTGTCTGAGAGATGACATTATTTCCTAGCTGAACATTATTAATGACACCTGAAAGGACTGAGGTTGTAGGTTTTGTTTTTGAGAGTAAAGCCTTCAAAACGCTGGCTGGGTGAATTCTGCAGTCTTCTGGGGGTAGTAGTCCACAAATCCCAAAAATCCAATGCCTCGATTTTGGTTGAGCTGGTATGATCAAGCATTTGAACCACCTTGCAGAGAGGTGTTTACCAAAGAGAAGTTGGGGGCTGCATACAGAGGCTTGAATTGCTGCTTTTTAGGCTCATAGTGCCTAGAATCCAGAACTGACAGTTCCCACGATTCCCCGGGCCATGAGAGTCCAAAGTGAAATCAAACTGCGATAACGGCACAGTCAGAAACTTTACATCTGAATTTCACGGCATGCAGCTATCCAAACACAAATGAAACCTTAATAATACTGTAGTGAGCCGAGTATCAGGGGATGCCGTTTAATCTGGAAATCAAAATGGACTGCAGATATTTCATTGACCTAGGAAATATTTCACATAAAAATTCAAAGGAGAATGTCAAGGAATTACATTATTCAGTCTTTTATTTTTATTATTATTATTATTTTGATCAGGAAAGAAGTACTGTGTTTCCCCGAAAATAAGGCAGGTGGTGGCGCTGCGGGTTAAACCGCAGACGCCTCTGTGCTGCAAGGTCAGAAGACCTGCAGTCGTAAGATTGAATCCACGCGACGGAGTGATCCCCGTCGCTTGTTCCAGCTACTGCCAACCTAGCGGTTCGAAAACATGCAAAATGCAAAAATGCGAGTAGATAAATAGGTACCTCTAGTCGCTCTGGCCACGTGACTACGGAAGATTGTTTTTGGACAAACGCTGGCTCTGTGGGTTGGAAACGGAGATGAGCACCGCCCTCTAGAGTCAGACACGACTGGACAAATTGTCAAGGGGAAATTTACCTTTTTTTACCTTATTCATTCATTCTTTCATTCATTCCATTTATACCTGCCCATCTAGACCAAAGTCTATTCTGGGTGGCTAACAGCAAAACATAAAAGCTAAGCAGTATAAAATATGAGTGCAATTTTCTCACGTTCCCTAGCAAGTGATAGAAGAGATGCATGGAAGTGCTAGATATACCCATACTCCTGATGAACAGCTACTAATAACTCTAAACGCCATGTATTTACCTAACCCGCTGCCAAAACCATTCCTGTTAGAAGGCATCACTGTTTTCTGCAGTAGATTTAGAAAAGTCATAAATACTACAATGGAATCCTTAATACTGTCTTGATGCCTTACCAAGAATAAAGATGTGTTCTGAGTATCAGCCAGGTAGTCCACACTTTGCTGTATTTCCTCAGCTGGTAATACCTTTTTCACCTTGAAGTACAGGTGAAAGTACCTAAAAATTCATTACATTTTGCCCCCCAAAACGCATTAGGGCTTATTTTCAGGGGATGTTTTATGTTTTTCATGTACAACCATCTACATTTATTCAAAGACAGTCCTGTCATCTTCTTCTTGTTGCTGCACAAGGGTGTAGGCCGTGCTTTCACTTAACATGGGGCTTATTTTGGGGGTAGGGCTTCTATGACAAGCATCCTAAAAAATCCTACTACGGCTTATTTTCAGGTTAGGTCTTCTTTTCAGGGAAAACGGAAACTCCTAGGGACTGCTTTCAAGCGCTCCTCTCTAAGCATCCTCCACTGGCACATGAACTGTATGGGCAAAATCATATTCTCAGTTGCATCACCCGGGGGGGGGGCGTTCCAGGCTGCCTCATGGAAAGAAAGACACAACCGTCCACTATTGAAACGGGAGATGATTTCATCTCACCCTTCCCAGCTTTCACACACACACACAAACACACACACACTGAGATCTCACAAGTTGGGGAATGAGTGACAGCCACTGTAGGATCTGACTCGTTATATCCTATGATATCCTCCAGAGAGATCGATCATGGTTTATCAGCCTCTCCACCACCGAGCCATTGAACAAAAGCAGCTGTGCAAACCATGCCAGCAAAGAATGAAGTAAACAAGGCCAGGTTTGTTCTCCTTATCTATGGAAATGACATCCGCTTGATGAGAAATGTCCGTTTTCAAGCCCTGTGAAATTCCTGACCTCGAGCAGTGCCACAAGGAATTCTCCCCACTAAAACACACACACACACACGCTTGTTGACAGATTCTTGTTAGGATTCTGACAGATTCTGTGGCTTAAAATAGTTCTGTTTTAGTTGAATAGTTCCATACATCTACCCCTTGTGAATTATTTCTTCCTAGTGCTCTCATGCGCTGGATTAGGGAGAAAGCCAGAGAGTTCCAGAAAAACATCTGCTTCTGCTTCATTGACTACGCAAAAGCCTTTGACGGTGTGGACCACAGCAAACTATGGCAAGTCCTTAAAGAAATGGGAGTGCCTGACCACCTTATCTATCCCCTGAGAAATCTATATGTGAGACAGGAAGCAACAGTTAGAACTAAATATGGAACAACTGGTTCGCTCAAAATTGGGAAAGGAGTACAACAAGGCTGTATATTGTTCCCCTGCTTATTTAACTTATATGCAGAATACATCATGCGGAAGGCTGGACTGGAGGAATCCCAAATCGGAATTAAGATTGCCAGTAGAAATATCAACAACCTCCGATATGCAGACAATACCACTCTGACGGCAGAAAGTGAGGAAGAATTAAAGAACCTCTTAATGAGGGTGAAAGAGGAGAGCGCCAAAAACGGCCTGAAACACAACATTAAAAAAACTATGATCATGGCCACTGGTCCCATCACCTACTGGCAAATAGAAGATATGGTGGCAGTGACAGATTTTACTTTCTTGGGCTCCATGATCACTGCAGAGGGTGACAGCAGCTACAAAATTAAAAGAGGAGGAAAGCGATAGGAG